GACCTTTTGGTATTTTGGCAGACTCTGGAAGTTTCGGCTATATATTAAGTACGGATTTTCGAAAATTCTAGAGTCTGCCGAAATACCAAAAGGTCATGCCGAAATACGAAAAGGGCTTGCATAAGGTTCTGCGGATCTGGCTCTATCATATTTACAAATTATTTATAACTTTCGCTTTGCTTTGAACATTTGTTAAGTGGCCGAAATGATCGAAGCATTTCGGCCACATGTATATTATTAACCACTAGATATAAGCAACATTAATAAATAAAAAATAAAAAAAATACCAAAAATTAACAAGTTCAAAATTTTGACTCAAAATAACGTGCAGGATAAAATAACGCACATGAGTGTTATTTATGTTGCTATCTACATCATTTGTTTGTATCGGCTCATTTTGTTATTTCGATTTGGTGTTTGGTCTTCTCTACATATTTCATAATTATCAGCAACAATAATTCAGCCAAATTTATTAAATAAGGGATAAGCATCATAAGTGATGAGGTGAACTAAACGGTGTAAGACTTAATTGAGACCTAGTCTAATATTTCATTTGTGATCTTAATTTTACAACTGATTCTCTATTATTATTCTTTCAGAGAATAACCAGAATTTTAGGGTGCGCACAGCGGCATTTGTCTTTTGTAATATCATTTTTACGTCTATTTATGTTTACAAAAAGTCAAAATTTAAATCATAAATTTGACAAAAACAAGCACCTTTTGTTAGCATGCAGAAGCACGCAAATGCTACTATAACAATGTCATGGTATGCATGTACGTACCAGAATGTCCAGCTATTTTTAGCATCTAGAATAGCACTAACGATATTACGACAACCACATAGAAATTTGACCAGAATTAATTCTATATGTTCATAGAATAAAAATAAGAAAAATTTATCAAATTTAGTTTAGATATCGCTAGTGCTATTTTGTATATTGCTCTATATCGTTGATAGTGCCCCGAACTTATGCAGTTTTCATTGTTTAAACAATGAAAAATCCAAGACTGGACATTTTAATCGTCGATTATTTAAATCCGAGATTTTTTTTGCATAATTTTAGTAGCATTTATTTATTACTATATAGATGTTAGAAGACTCAATACTTTCCATTTTTGACTTAATAACAATACAAGGATAAATTTATGTAATATATGGGTAGCTCCACAACAAATCAAAAAATTATTAAATGAAGTTAGCATGGCTGCCATCGAGTTTGATCAAAATGACTTGATGTATTGTTTTTATTTTTGCTTCATCGATAAATACTATTGTTCTTGGTGAAACAATGCAACTAAAGAATTCAGTTAAAAAGTATTAACTTGATTTATTAAAAAAAATAATAATAATAAAATTTTTTTGATTAAAGCCGACATTTTTCGCTTATAATTTATCTATGAGAAACAATACATTTTTTAGCCAAATAATGTTCGTGCATTGTTATCTGCAGATGCCTCAAAAAGTTTTGAGATTTCTCCGGAAAATCATGCCGGAAAATTGAATTCGATTGATCTTAATAATTGCTATTATCGTATAAAAAAAAGGTATTGTTTTTTATTTTTTTTTCAAATAAAAAAAAAAACATTGTAATAATTGTTATGATGATATATAGCATTATCAAGGATATTTCCGCATTAATTGGATTTAAAGCACGAATTGTTAAAAACATTATAGCTTTTGTTGAACGGTCAAGAATGAATGGATACATGTTTTATAATTTGCATTCGTTCATAGGAACAATGACACTAGAATGAATTGAATCTTGCTGGTTCACAGGATGATTTTCGACAATACTACTGTAACATTCACCAATTATGTTCAATCTCACATGTTTTTGTCAACAAAACATTTAAATACAAATGGCTTTTTTTTTTGTCTCTTGAATAAAAAAAGAATTCTTGTAAATCTTCATAGAGACTTAATTTTGAAAAATGTCACAACGAAGCAGACTCGAAAATGTGCCGATTTTCGCGCCTTTCCCTCAAACTAATATTTGTATTCCAAATGATGATCTCGTCAACCAAATTATTGCGTCTATTGATCCTACAATACTTTTAAAGATCAGGCAATATACTTACCTAGAAATTAAAGATTTGATCGCACCTAAACCTAAAAAGAACCGTAGTAGACAAAAAATTCCACGTCCACAAAACCCTTTCGTGATATTTCGTAGGAATGAACAAGCAAAAATGTTATCCGGCTTGGATCCAAAAATGAAAGAATCAATGCTTGCCTTTGTATCAAAAGCCGCTGGAAAAGATTGGAAGACCGCTAACGTAGAAGTGAAGAATGTATTTAACTATTTGGCACAATTGGCCAAAAAAGTTCATGAAGAAACTTATCCTGATTATGTTTATCAACCAAGAAAGAAAGTTGATAGATCCAGTTTTCAAAATTCAGCAGTACGCAATGGCTATTTTATTAATTCTCCAATTCCAGAGTTCCAATCTCCTCCAGATTATTCAGATTTTTGGCCTGAAGGTCAACATTCAAGTTATGCAAATAATTATCACTCAACTTCAACTTCCTCGGATGAAAACCGGGATGTTTGGTCCGATTCTTTATTTCCTTGCTCTCATTTACCATCAAAACACCTACCTTCCATTTGGTCTTTGGTAGATTCGGCCACTCCTAACGCACAAAAATCTACGATTTTGCCGTGCTCATCAACTTTTTCACATTCTACTTTATCCACAACATTATCTAATTATCAATCAGAAATGAGATCGTCACTTTTTAAACCTTTATCTATCTACAGTGGATCACCCACTCTTGACCCATCAGGTTCAAACCGTACTTTGCCACCACTTGAAGTTGATATATCTAATTATACGACAGACTATTACGATAGAAATCTACTCACTTCTTTATTAGTTTAATTCATATATTTTTTTTTTTATTGTTTTGGGTCCAAAATATTTGGTTTTAATAATTATTTACCACTTTTTTCTAATAAATGTTGAAAAAAAAGATCTTTATATGATATATATTGTTATAGTTAAAATCATCAAAATTTACGAAGAGCTATATTAAATTTCATTGTAGTTCCATTTATACATTTTAATGGTTCCCGTCACAGCAATGTCTCATTTAAATTAATGTAAAATTAGGCTATTAACGTTTTGTTGAACGTCGTAAACTGGTCATTATTTCTCTCCTTGATGATTGATAAAGTGGGGCCTAATTATACCTGATTCACATAACATCCTGCACGTTCCTCTTCTCTAGTTATAATTAGCAAAGTAATTGGCTAACCATTTGAATTTACTTCCATTAATCCTTTTCGCGGAATATAGTAATCATGTTTATGTAAAGTATGACAGTTTAATATACGTTGAGGTGGTCGATAATACGCTTTTATTTTAATTAGTAATAAATTATATAAAATAAAATAAGAAAACTTATTATTAAATGTTAAATATCCAAAAGCATTTTACTAAATCTTTTAGCATAAAGACTACGGCATAGTTTTTTTTGATCAAAAAATCTATCGCTATCATTATACAAAAATCAATAAGACTAGACATATGTTTGATTCAATTAGATGATCAACTACCCCATCGATACGTGTATCGGTATCTGTATATTCAATATGATGGTTATAATTTTGGTTCCCATTTTCTTATTATTTGAAAATGGTTTATATAGCAATACAAACCAAACTTCTATAACGATAAGTGATGAGTTGTAATAAAATATATTCCCATAAAGTTCCTGATTGAATATCGTTAAAAACACTTGCCATGTATATTTTTTTGGTAGGATCTACTTGAGTAAATTAGGAAAAAAAGTTCTTGCGTTTGTTTATACGTATACGTACTGTATCGGTATCAGTATTCTAAATTTTAATTGAATATCTCAAAGTTTGCATAGTCTAAGCAGCGCAACTCAAGTATGCACTGAATAGTAAGACCTTATACATGCATTTTAATTTTGGAAACACCTATTTCCTAAAGAAGTTTAAGGATACCTTTTTGATGCAGTTAGGACTAGTGGGTTATATAGATATCAATAATGCAATTTATTCATTATGTAGCTCATATATTGGATTAACCCCGCTTTTAACCAACCCTAAGAAAGTTGAGAAAGTTAATCTGAGACTTAGTTTCTTAAATACGTAATTTCTTTAAAAAAACGCCAAATACAATTTCGATGTAGCTAACTAATAAATAAATAACTAATTGATTATTACTATCACTACTTTACCTCAGACTAATAGATTCTAATTTCCGTTTAATAAAAAGATCACCGGAAAAATATCAAGACATGTCATGCCACAATTTTGTGCACTGTATAGTTAGACTAGAGGTAGATTGTCGGCGAAATTGCTGACGGAGAGTTCTACGTATCATATTATTTATTATGCAGGCATTTTTTAATTTCGTTATTTTTTTTTTAGTTAACTCATGAAACGTAAACTTCCTGATTAATCACGTCATATGAAATTATGATAAAAGCAACTTCTAATAACTTATCTGAGATAAGTGAAGGAATATGATTGCGTAATGAAGTATAATTTCTGCGTGTAATAAATGCCGCCAAGTAAGTCTAAAATACAGAAATATAGATTATTAAAGAATCATCGTATTTTTAGATCTTTTTTTAAAAAAAATTTTATTGTTAAACTATTTACACAATAACGATAAACTATGACAAGGTAAACTAAAATATAGTTTGGAGAAAAAAATGTTTGAAGAGATATATAGTATTCATTGCACAAAATATATATTATATATGTTCCAAATGCCTAGATTCCACCCGAAAATTATACATTGAAATGTTTTCTAATTTCATACGTCTTTGAGTGTTCTTGAGAATATTTTGTAAAATTTGAAACAATTTATCTATAATGATTATACAAGAAACTTAGTACTATATCAATATTGGCAAAAGAAAATCATAATAATAATAATAATAATAATAATAATAAAATAAAAGGAAAAAAACCATAACACAATCATTTATAGTTTATCATTAAAAAATTATTTAATCAAAATCTAACAATCTTTCGTTGCTTGTTGAATTTTAACCTCCTCTTGATTATATAAAGTTTCCCATAGATCAATTTCATCATCATCATCGTCGGCTACTACTGATATGTCGTTATCGAAGCCAATGGAGTATGGTGATTGTGGTGCGGTTGTTGTAGATTCATCATTTTCGATTAAATTATTATCAATGGTGGAGGATGTAAAAATAGATGAAACAGATGTTGATGAAGGAAGAGTTTGAGATGAAAGGATATGAGTTTGAAGAGGATGATATTCATATGTTGGACTACAAGTAGGATTATCGATAACAACAGGTTTGTCGAGATCTGCCAACCACGCAGGAGTGCGTAAAGAGCCTGAAAGATTGTGAGTTGAAAAATTCTCTAAAGTTATGGGAATAGAAACCAAACGATTGTTCAATTGAATAGGTGTATTGTTAGGACCAATTGGTGTTTCTGTGTCTATGCCAGTAGATGGCATTAACGGTAATGGTAAATTTTGTTTATCCTGCCAATTGAGAAAATCGGTAGGATTATCGTTTGTTTGATAAAACGTGCCATACATAGGTTCAGGGAAAGACTGCACCGTTGATACCGGTGTGGTCTCAAAGTCTGGCATGATAATCAATATTGTAAATATGAATAAATCGCAAGAAATATTATATAAATATAAAATTTACCATTTGTTAAATAACTGCCACTTTCAGAATTATAATAAGGAGAATAAATAGGTCGTTCGTCATTATTAACAGTTTTCATATCGCAAGTATTCCAATAATTATCATAAACTGTTTCATGAATTAATCCAATCATATTATTGTTCTGATTATTAGAGATCAATTGAGAGTAATATAAAGATTGACCATTTTCTTTTGCCGTATCCAATTGATGTTCATTGTCGGAAGTTAGAGCTATTGAAATATTAGCAAGATTAGGTGTAATCCTAGCCATCCCTTGCACTTTAGAATCGGTAGGCGAGGCGGTAATTGAAGATGTCGATGATATAGGAGATGAATGAATAGATTCAGAATCATTAATTCTTTTTTCTTGACAGTATTCTGCAGCAAGTGTTAATTTTTTTGGTTTGTTGAGTTTTGCAGCATTTTTAGATTCTAAAGCATCCCTTTTAACTTTTGCTCTTCGATTTTGAAACCAAACTTGGATAGCACGCGACGACATGTTGAGTTGTGCCGCTAATCGGGTACGCATTTCCGCATCAGGTTTTTGAACCTTTTCAAATGTACTAATGAGAACATTGGTTTCTTCTTCAGTAAGACGACGACGACGTTTGACTTGACGATATGGAACAGGATAATGAAAAAGGTGTCCAAGAGAAGCGGGTGAAGGTTCCGAAGATGAGAGATCATTGATCAAAAGACCGTCTTTTATGTCTTGATCAACAACAAATTCGCGATGATGAGGTGAAAATAATGAATGATGCCGACTATCGCTAAGACTTGAAGTACCATTATCGACATTACTGATATTCATCATATCTGCGGAAGATTGGTCATAATGTTGATCATGAAAAGGGAAGGCTGCAATCATTGAATGTTTGTTTTTTTTTTTTAATATAAAAACCAAGCAAAATAGTCGAAAATTGAATAATAATACAAAGTATTATAACGAAATGATGATTTTTTTAAAAATAAATAAATATCCCTATTTGATAAACGAAACGTGCAAAGAAAAGGAACAAGGATGAATAAATATGGTAAAATTTAAACCGTGAATTAGTCAACTTTTTATATATGAAAAATGATAAACAAGATATATATCACCTTTCATTAATAACTTTTTTATCTTTCTCTTTCTGATCCTGCCTTAATGATTTATATTTTTTTAGTGGATTGTCAAAGAAAAAGTATAAAAAAATCATCTCACTGCTGTACATCAATTGACGCAACTTCAAACACCTCTGAATTTGTCAGAAAGAAAAATCAGTTATTTATCAGTTGAAATAGGTCATAGGTGTGAAATTTATATATATATTGACAATAAGGTGATCGTATCTAATTAGCTGCGGCACAAATATTCTATTTGCATAAATCTATTTTATCGATTCATTATTTCATTGTCAGTACGTAAAAAAAAGCTGGTCAACTGCTGTATATTTATAACAATCATTCTCTCATGATAGATTTTTAATGCGCATTCACTAAGATTCGCGGTTTTTCATGCCGTAGCTGGTCATCAGATTTGTGACATAGTTAATGTGTCATAATATAAAACGAGTCCATGGGCTCTCTTTAACTCTTCAATTGATCGCGATCGTGTCATCCGATTTTTAAAGTGGCTATTGTAAGCTACGAGTGTTGATAGGCGTGTCATATCTGCATCACTAATTTTTGAATAATGATGTGATAATGATGTTGGCTATGCGAGAAGTGTGAAAAAATCTAGTAAAAACGAGGTTACGTGAACTGTGATAAACTTTCCATTAAATATCTTAAAAGTTTATAGAGTTTATAGTTTGAAAATATAACAAATTTTCGTTATTCTGATCAATATCTGATATATCGGCTAACATGACTATATGTTATGTCCAATTATACCATAAATTTGATTTAAATAATAAAAGGTAATTACTCTCTTGTGGCAATTAATTAGCTCTCAGTATATAGTTACACAAACATTTATTATTATGTTTAGAGGTCAGATATAAGTTTGGCGTTGGTGCTAGTAACGTTAATATAAAATCGCTTTTTCAAAACTAGGCTTAACCACCCGTTTTTAAATAATTAATGAAATTTAAATTTATATTAATATTCAGAGATTTATTAATTGCATAACTAAAGAGGTCATCCAAACGATTAGAATAATTAGACTTTATTATACCATTGCAAGAATTATACGTATTATATATATGTTTTACGTTGGAATGGAATTATTGTAGGTTTGGAATTTATTTCAGTTGAAACTGCAACCCAAGTTGATACGAAATCTAAAAGCAACTTGATTGACTACAAATTGATACTGCTGTACTGCAATTACTTAAAAATTTAATGCAGTAATAAATAAAGTTAACAAAATATTTATATAAATACCAATCTTTTGTTAAATTTTTTTTCTTTCTGACCGGCAAGATTATCCTTTTTATCTCGTAATGCATTTATGAATTGCTTTCCAAATACAGTAGCAACAAATCTCTAATACGTGGGTAATGTAAAAAATATCTATTACATGTGAAGGCTTTGATTCTGTATTAAGGGTTTATAAGATCCAGCAAATACAATAATTGTGAATGTAAAAGATTGCTATTGAAAAAAATTACATTGGTTATATGTAATCTTGAAATGCAAACTTTATAATTTAACTTTTAAATTTGACTTGTTCATTAGAACTTGACAAATTTTAGAGTTGGATAGTATTCTTTCATTATTTATAAGCATTCAAGAAGCATCTACAGCATTCAAAAAACTTTTATTTTCTTTATTGTCCGAAGCGTAACAACCAATAAAAATTGAGAATTGGAGGTTTCCATGATGATCTGCAGTGTAAAAATTATACAGTATAACCTCAACCTCGATATAACGATAACAAAGATTATTTCTAATTTTTATGTTTAAATTAGCCCTGATATAACGAAACTACTAATAAGTTTTGATATAACGAAGCAAAACCTCCAGCTATAGAGCTTCATTATATCGAGGTTATACTGTATAACGTTTTTAACATTGCGATGATATTATTGCTTTTGATTGTAAAATCATATAGATAACGTCTTCTTTTTAATGTTATCTATATAATTTTTACAATAAGAAATAGCAAAAACAAATAGTAAATGACATATTTCATAATTTAATCAAATGTACAAATTCTATAAACTTGTTATAATACGTATTAAATTATATATAAACTTGATACGTAGTAATTTTAAATTACAAGTGGTTTTATTAAATAAATTGTTTTTAAAGATAGTTGTAAAGTAGATTTCTTTTATTCAAATGATAGTAAAATTATTAAATATTTAATAAGACAAATATATTTAAAGAAAATTTTATATTATTATTATGAGAGTTTACTAATCAGAATTAGGCATTAGAAAAAAACATGTAGCATTTAGAAAAAACTTTAATTATAAGTAAAATAAGTTTTTTAAAATGATTTATAATTTTAGACATAAAAATGCAATCCAATACTAGGTAATGCAAACTTAAAATAAGTTCTTGCAGTTGTATAAATTCATAGAATTAAGAAAAAAGAAGTCTATTTAAAAAAATTCATATAAAAAAATAAAATCTTTAACAATATTACTATAAAGGTTAGACTTAAAAAATAAATATTAATAAAAGAAATTAGATAAACAAGTACATCTAAGTAAGAGGTATTATTAACTAGATTGTTAGATTATGAACCAAAAGAAAAAAATATAGCTTTATATTTATTTTGTACAAGTTATATACAGTATATGTATAATTAAAAATATAATAAAGACAGTTATTATAAACATTAGTTTTAATAATAATAAAAAATTCAAGATGTAATAACTTGATGTAGTTAGTAAGTTGTTAACTTCTAAGTAATAAATCTAATGTTCAAATTCTATTTATAATAACATTTGAATATTATATCTATGTTATAATAACTGTTTCTTGTTGATTAGTTAAATTTATATATTTGTAATCTTAGATATACCAAGTTAAATTTTACTTAATATTAAAAACTTAAACATTTATACAAAGTATAATGTTATATATATATAGAAAAATGTTAATAACTAATATTGTATAAAACTTTAGTCCAAACTTATAATAAGATTACTAGATACAAAAACTAAGAAATTAAGAAAACAGAGATTTACTTAAAAATTTCAAAATAAAGAAATAGTACAAACTTTTAATATTACTATCAGTTTGATAGAAGTTTATAAATATCTTTTAAAGAATCTTTTAGAAACTAAATAATAAAATGTATAAAAAAGCATATGATCAATTAAGCTGTCAGATTTCATTAGAAAAAAAAAATACTAAATATATTATATTGAACTATCTAAATTAGTAATTTGGTAAAGTCTAGTTAGTACTAAATAAAATAATTATAAAGAAGAGATTAAAAAGATAGGTACTAAGATTTAGATAAACTTTACAAAAATAAAAATAATATAATATAGTAATTTAATAGAATATTTGTAATTACAAATACTAGTTCTGTTATAGTATATTGCATAAACTAAATTAACTATATGTAAAACATAAAAAGCTCTAATAACAATGCTTTTAAGAATATATTATATAAAATAAAATATAATGTCTTAAGAGTATAGATAAGTATCTAGAACTTCTTAACTAACATATATACTAGGATAATGGAAACTATTAGCAGTCTGAAGGACTATATTTTATATTAATATTGTTAATTGTAAGTCACTATTTATTGATTACTAGATTAACAATTTAATTTTTTACATGTCACATATGTATGTTTGATCTATATTAGAACAATCAATTATATTAGAGAATTTGCTAACAGATAGACATTTGTATACCCCATTTACTCAACAGTTAAGTCCTTCAGACAATTAGAAATGTTTTAGTAATACAGTATAAATTACAGTATAAAAAGCAATATTTGTAATTGAATTGCAGATATAGTAGTTAGTATAGAACTATAAGTAGACTACTTAAATTAGCTCCAAAAATATATATATAACTAGTAACTCTATTAAGGTCTTGGCTATAAGTTCTTATATTTAAAAATATTAAATAAAAAACTCTAGTTTAAAAATAGAAGAGTATGGATCCCATAGCTTAGCAGTTAAGCTTCTATATCTTTCATAGTCAAGATCAATAGTTCAAGTTTAGCTAGAAACAAAATTAAAGATTTTAGCTTTTGTAACCTAATAAAGAGTTTGTAATTGAATGTGAAGCCCTGTAGTTAAGTCCAAGTGCAGTACAATGATGGAAATAGGAATTCCCAAAAGGAGACCCAATCATAAAGAGCAGACATTATGCATAACAAGTAATTGTTATAGAAGATTACAGTTATGAAAAGATTGTACATGTAAGTCCTTTAGGCTAGGGCAGCACCAACATTCTTATACCTCCTAATATAGACAGTACTAATATCTCTGCACCCAACTTGTAGGATACTTGCTTGGAAGAATAATCAATGGATTGTGCAAATAGTCTTAATTAGGATTCAAGAAGAAGATTTGATTGGGAGAGTATTCTGAAAGTAACCAAGACTGGAATGATAAAAGAAGTAGTGAATATGAAAACATACTGTGATAAAGGATTGGTCTAGCCAAAAATTGAAAGCATCTCTGGTACAGCTGAATAATCTAATTATAGAAGAGAAAAATCTTGAAGGTTGGCATATAACTTCCTTGTACAATATAAAAGTACTAAATCGGGTTCCTGATTATATTTATATGAAAGTCTATAATGAACAAGACTGGAATCAACCAACCAATATAAGATAAAATCTGCAAAGTAGTATGGCATTACTAAGGTCAGTGTAACTCCCTAAGGCATAACTAGAATTGTCCTGTAGGTATTATCAAATAAACTTGGAACTTGCTATATATAATAGTATAGTATTATTAG